TCATCCCCCGATGGGCCCCAGACTGCGAGAGGGAACAGGCCGGGCTGAGGGACCGCCCCTTTCCCCCGAGTGCACAATTTTTTGTGCACCGGGCCTCTAGTAGTATTATAAAATTAAAATACATGTGATTGGTGCCAGTGAGAGCTTTATATGTATCATGCATGCGCTAGTCAATGTTTATTTTTAAATTGCCAGTGTATGTCATATGTACCAGATGGTCGGACGGACGTATGGTTGGTCACTTAGCCTTTTATACATATAGATTGAAGACAGAACCTGAAGACACAAATAAGTGGCAGCATCTGCTGTGTTCATGGATAGGGGGAATTAACATCATTAAAATGTCCATACTAGCTCTTCCCAGCCTGTGCCAAGCCATGGGCATCCCTTGGAACAACTGGCATAAGCCCTACAAGACTAGGAGCAAGAGAAAGCCCACCCAAAAGAAGCGAAAATATGAGTTGAGACACCCTGCTGCCAACACAAAGATTGAACTCTACCACATACACATAATCTGCCTGTGGGGAGGCAACAAGAAATACTGAGCCTTGAGGCGGGGTGTGGGCAACTTCTGGGGCTCCAAGTGTTGTACATACAAAACAAGGATTATTGATGTTGTTTACAGTGCATCCAGTAATGAACTGATCTGCACCAGGAGCTTAGTAAAAAATTGCATTGTGCTAATTGACAGGACAATGTACCCACTATGCACTGCCCCTGGGCCACAAAAAGGGGGCCAAGCTGACTTCGGAGGAGGAAGAGCTTTTAAACAAAAATCGACCAAAGAAAATTCAGAAGACCTGATCAAGGGAGAAAGAATGCCAAAATCAGCAGTGTTCTCAAGAAGCAGTTTCAGCAGGGCAAACTTCTGGCATGCATTGCTTCAAGATCAGGCCAGTGTGGCCGCACAGATGATTATGTGCTAGAGGGCAAGGAGCTAGAGTTTTCTGTGGGAAATCGAGGCCTGGAAAGGCAAATAAATCCTCTTCCTTCCTATCTTAGCTCATGTAATAAAGGTGTTTGTTAAAAAAAAAAAAATTCCATACTACCTAAGGCAATCTATGGATTCAATGCAATTCATATCAAGATACCGATGGCGTGTTTCACAAAACTAGAACAGATATTCCAAAACTTTATGTGGAACCACAAAAGACCCCAAATTGCCGCAGCAATCTTGAAGATGAACAAAGTTGAAGGAATCATGCCACCTGGCATCAAAATACACTACAAGGCCATAGTAATAAAAATAGCATGGTACCAGCATAAAAACAGACCTATAAGTCAATGGAATGGAATAGAGAGCCCAGAAATAACCCCACACCTTTATGGATTTCTTTTTCTTTTTTTTTCCTTTTTTTTAAAAAATATATTTTATTGATTTTTCACAGAGAGGAAGGGAGAGAGATAGAGAGTTAGAAACATCGATGAGAGAGAAACATTGACCAGCTGCTTCCTGCACATCTCCTGCTGGGGATGTGCCCGCAACCCAGGTACATGCCCTTGACCGGAATCGAACCTGGGACCTTTCAGTCCGCAGGCCGACGCTCTATCCACTGAGCCAAACCGGTTTCGGCTTCTTTTTTTTTTTTAGAATGGAAGCGGGGGTTGGGGGGGAAGCTTTCTATTTTATTTAAAAGAAAATTTCAAAATTGGAAGAAGAATTGCGTTAATCATTCATTTTTTTCTTTTGGCCATTTACTTTTTTTTTTTCCTTTAGTATCTCTGGGAAATACTTGTGTTGGAAAGTAGTCATTTACTCCTTCATCTTCTCTATTATTTCCTAATAACAAAAAAAAGTATAATTCTTTGGTTTCTTTTTTATCCTATAGTGGCTCACAGAAGAGATGAAATGTGGTCTGAGGGACGACATGACTACGAAAGGCTTCCAAGAGAACGAGCACCTCCTCGAAATCACCCCAGTGTAAGTTCCTTCTTCATGTAGAATAATTGAAAACCTAGAGTCTAAGTCATTTTGGTACACCACAGCTAGGCCTCTTAACAAAATCTTCAAGGGCCAAAAATTTACCATTCTAGGTTGAAATATAAATAGATTAAGCTTATATTTTAAAAGTTAAAAGTGTGAAAGTAAAAGTCAACATTTTATTTATTTAGAAAATCCCTATTTTATATTTCCTGCTTATATTTCTAAAATGAAGGGTTTATATTTGTGAAGAAAATTTTAGGTTTAGTAAAGGTCAGTCCATCACTTCACAAAGTACTTAAGCACCTGTTCCTGTTATTGGCTGACACCTATTTTTCTATATTCTTAAAAATGTTTGCAAATTGGATATATGAAATTCTAAAGTAGGGGCCCATCAGGAGCAGGCAGGCAGGCAGCTTCTGGTATGCTGTCTTACTGCTTGTCTCTTTGTGGCTCTGGGAGTTGGAAGTTTGAATCAGGTCTTTTCTCAAGGAGCTTGCTATTTTGCTTATTCCTATTTTCCCAGCAACATATCCAATACATGGCATATAGTAAGGAGTTCAATGTTTACTGACTAAATATATGCACTCTGCAAAATCCTATATGGAAACCCAAGGGAGGGTTTGAGGAAGGTCAAGAAGCTCTCAAACTTTTACACAGGCCCATTATAAGCACCAGGAGATTGGGCTTGTGGGCTTGATAGTATATGGATATATTTGTTTATATATTAGTTGTTTATTACCTATATGTTACAAGTAAATCCTATAACCCACTTAGATGGTTGGTGTTACCTTTAAAATTGTCATTTGGCCTAGGTTACAGCTTAGGTTGGGATTGATCTAAAATGATTTAAGATGGAAAAAATGAAGAGACTTACCATATATCTTTCAAAATGAGCAGACAATTATTACCATATGTGATTTCTTTATAAGTTATTATATAGACTTTATGTTTCTAATCAAACTCCCAATTTTTAAATTTTTTTCAACTTGATAAAAATATTTTTTAGTTTACCTAGAAAAACAAACAAGTGATATTGATAAACATGATGTAGGACAAATGCAGGGATGGGATAAAGGATGATTTTTAATTTTTTTTTTATTTTTTAGAACCCCCGCCTGTACAAGGATATATCCCATTATGAATTTATTTTTCAAAGTTAATTAAACGGATTTTTGGTGGGATTATGCCACCAGTTGGATATATAGTTGGGTTTTACTTTGTTTCAATTTTTCGGGATTGCCCTTTTTCTTTTCTAATTCTTTTTTTTTTAAATTTTAAAACATTTAGATGGTTCCAAATTATAAAATAATGTACAAAGAGGGGTAACTTATTATTTAAAAAATTATTTTATTGATATCAGAGAGGAAGGGAGAGGCAGAGATAGAAACATCAGTGATGAGAGAGAAACATTGATTGGCTGCCTCCTGTGCATCCTCTACTGGGGATCAAGCTCACTACCCGGGCATGGGCCCTTGACCGGAATCAAACCCAGGACCTTTCAGTCTGCAGGCTCACACTCTATCCACTGAGCCAAACCTTCCAGGGTGGGGATAACTTACTTTAAACGGTAATTTACTGTAATTTTGTATTTATCTAGTGCCTGCTTACTACAAATTAAAGATTTTATGTATGAACTTCCTAATCTTCAAAGCAATAGTTAGTGTTGAATGGTACAACATTTATAGAACCCTGTAGAATGTTTTTAGATACCATAAAATATAAGCAGGATTTATGTACAGGGATATAATTTCAGATAATGGGAACCACTCATGCTGAAATTATGGAAGAAGTTATGATATAAACCTTAAGTACACCATTCTGCATTATGTATGCATGCTATATTATATCATGGAACATATTGCAGTAAAAGTTGGCTTAAAAAGCTATTAAGACTGGAACAGAGAGATATGCGAGGAGGCTATTGCTAGGCAGGGGAGCTGAGGAAAATTATTAAGATAGGATTAATCAGTTATATCAGTGTCATGAATACCAGTTAGAAGGGCCCTCCAGTTCTTCAGTTAGATTAATGTGTGAGAATGGATTTGAGAAAGTTCATATCTAATAGCCATTGTTGTTCTCTAAAGTAAGAGGTAGCAAGATCATCTATTCAAAGTTGAGAAGGTGGAGGAACACTTGAGTTCAGCACTGAAGCTTTGGAGTAAACATTACAAATATCTTCTGAGTAGGAGTGTTTAATAAGATTTGCTGAGGACTTTGTACACCATAAGTTTTATACCTAAGAAGCCCAGATTAGAAATGAGGAAAGCAAGTTGTATTGAAGATTGCAAGTTGAGTGGTTGAACCAGGGAGATAAGGATATTGAAAGTTCTGACCCAGAGAATTATGGAGGTAATATATTATGTGATATGGACTGTTTAAGAAAGGGAGTCTATGTGATAGGGACTGTTTAACCCCTTCCCCGGCAGAAACGTGTATACTCGTTTTCACAAAATGTTCTTTTTCAGTCGTCGACGAGTATACTAAGAAAATATGGTAAAAAAGTATGGTTTATAGGAAGACGAGTTACAAACTGTTTTCATAACCAGCATCAAAAATACTATATAGAACCAAAATAAAAAAATTAGTCTGAAAAAGAAACGTTTTTAACAAAAAAATTGTTGGGGAAGGGGTTAAGAAAGGGAGTCAAGCAGTGAGAGGGAAGGTGGATTGAAAGAAATGAGGGGTTGAGGAACAAGAAAAGCTTAGTGAGCTTGAAGACAGGGTGTGGCAGAAAGATAAGGCAATTGGTAATTTAGAGTGTAGAGTTTTCAAGACAGAACAGTTCTGGGTGATTAACGTTTGATGTATAGTGGTGAGGGACAGAAGGTGAGTGAAGGTAATTGGCGTTGAGATCGAGAAAACTTTAAGGCTAGATTTTTGGACCAGAGATTTAGATTAGAGGCGCTAAATCCTTCCTATACATTAAAATCACCTAGGGAGCTCTTAAATATCTATGTATGGGCCCCATTCCAGATAACCTCACTAATAAAAGAGAAACATACAAATTGACCATACCTTCGCTACACCTTAAGCCACGCTCACCAGCCAATCAGAGTGACCATATGCAAATTAACCCAACCAAGATGGCGGCTGGCAGCCATGCAGCTGAAGCATGCAGGAGGCTTGGTTGCCCCAATGATGGAGGAAGCCAGGCTTCCCGCCTGCTGCAGCGGGCTCTGAGCTCCACTCAAAGCAACAAAGTTTTAATTCTAGAAGGTAAATAAACCCCAGATACCTGCTTTCAGCTGGCCATGGCCACAGAGCTGGAGCGAGCAGGAGGCTTGCTTGCCCCAGTGATGGAGGGAGCCAAGCTTCCCACATGT